TATATTATTATACATGTTGATACCTTGGTATGATGGTATTAGTGATGTGAGTTTTTTGAGTTTAACTCTTAAAAGCTATTATCATGATGAATTAGTAGAGACGTTATAAAGTTGTTAACAATTTTGAGTAACATGATTGGTCATAGTGTCAAATATGATGTTATCCATATTACAATTTTTACATAACTTGAGATGTTATAGAGATATCATAAATTACGATATTTAAGTTTGTGCATTTTTCATTGTATTAAGAAATACAATGATATGATTAATTGAGTCTTAGATCCATAGAGCATCTCCAATAAAAACAACTCATTTGAGTTGTTTCATGCATTGAAAAATGAAAAAAGTAGTCCCTAGTGTGCTATGTCAGCATTAAGCAACACAAATACAAATTTACTCCAATGGTAAGAAACTTTAAGAAATTCAATTTTTAGAATTTTTTTTCTAATTATTTATGAACCAAATTTAAATTTTTATTAAAAAGGATAATTGCACTACAATGAAAGAAAATAAATTACGAGAAAAAATACACAATAAGTAGATATTAAAAATAAAATAAAGCAATAGTAAATACATAAACATTATACGAAATTAATTTTCATCATTAGTATTTTCGAAACGTTCCCAAATATGTTTAATAAAATCTGCTTGAAATCTGATAAGGAACAGTTGCTTGAGGAAGCAACTCTCTCTCTTCTTCAAGCAACTCATGTTGCCACGTCAGAGTCTTCCAATGACAAGAAATCGAGGCTTGAGTTGCTTCATGGGACAAGCAACTCCCATTGGAGTTGCTCTTATGAGACAAAATCCACTAATATTGTGTCATTAGTCAAATTAATAATTATTGAAGTAGAGTTTGTTGTTCTAGAGTTCATTAATTATGAGGCTTAGTGGTTGAGAATCTCTTAGTAATATTCCATCCAGAATATAAAATTAAAAAATGAAGTAATATCACAATTGTTTAAAAAGATTGGAAATTATTACATATAGTCCATAATGGATTAGCCTGATCCTTTGATTTTTAAACCCATAGGGGAGATATTTATGAAACATCGTGAGTTACTTATAAATATCAAGGAGAATGAGATTTTATTGAAGTCATTTGAAACAAATAGTGATGGTAACCCAATCTTTGTGATTGGAGATAGAGTGGCAAAATGTGCTACAGCTCGCGGGTTAGCCCAATGGCCCGTCAAAAATTGGTGGGCTAGGTTAGGTATTCTAGCCCACCATCCCATGGTAACCCAACCTTTGTGATTGGAGATAGAGTGGCAAAATGTGTCATAGCCCACAGGTTGGCCTAATGGCCCGTCAAAAATTGGTGAGCTAGGCTAGGTATTCTAGCCCACACTGCCTAGCCCACCGAGCCAAATGGTGGGTCAAGGCGGGCTAACCTTACCTTTTTTTTTCTTCTATTTTTTGTTTATTTATTATTTGTAATATAAATTTATTAAGTCACTTCAAATTTATTTTGTGTATAATCTATGATTTGTTGTGTAACAAAATTTGTTGTACGTTTGATTTATTTTATTATATGTAATTTAAGATTTATTATGCAATAAATATGTTACAAAAGTTATGAATAGTATTATAATTATATATCTATTTTGTTACGCAACAAATTTGAGATTTGTTGTACAACAAATCAAATCAAAATAGTTGTAATTTGATGTTTTTTATTATTTAGATACATTTATTTATATAGGTTATTTAGATATTGAGAAAAAAAAATATGTTCAAAGAGTAACTCAAAATAAATATGCAAACTTTTTTTCTTTTTTGTTTTTTTTCTTAAATTTTTTGGCCCTTAGGCGAGGCAAGCCAAGGTATCTGGCCCATTTTCATTTGGCAACCCAACCTAACTCATTTTTGGTGGGCCAGCAACAGATCAAGCTTAAATAGGCTGGATTAGCCCATTTTGTCATTTCTAATTGGAGATCCCATGATAAAGGTTTAATGGGAAAAACAAGTTAACATTAAATTTGATTAAAAACAATTTTAATTTTTTAATATTTTTCTATCGTGTGAGAAAGTGCTAAAGTTGCATTAAGGAGATAACAATTTTATAGTTAAACTTTATGTGATTATGTGAATGCTTGACCCCTTATAAAGATTTTAATGATTTTCATATATTTTATGGGTGGTGTATGATTTGTAGGATACACTTGATGAAATCACCTATATGAGTGTCAAGTGGCATTACTTACATGAGATCTCTAGAGAACTCAAATATTGAGTGCGTACATGACCTAAAAGTGCAATACAATGATAACAATAATGATTGTAAGGATGTATTGTGATAAGTTAACCTTTGATACACGTTAAGTGTTTTGGGTTCAATAATTTGTTACACTTATTACAATATGTGTTCAGTTTTATCAATTTAAGTTTGTTTCAATAGCTTGCTACACTAGGTCTGATGTACCACAACCTATATGAGAACCTATAATTTCTTTTTAAACCTTTTGAAATATGTGGCAAATTGTTGTATATTTTGAGATATTTCAAACGGTTAATTTATTCATGAAAGTATTTCAAATTTAATTTTAAATTCAAAATAATTATTTTATTAATTACTGGTATTAAAGCCTAATTTGTGAGACCCGTGAACCCCTTACTCATTTTCTTCTTCTCAACTCACTCTCACTCTCACCCTATCCTTTTTCTTGTTGCTGGTTTTCTTCTTTGGGGTGACCTTGGACTGAAGGTGTTGACCAAGCTTAGGTAGAGCTAGCTGAAGATTGTCTCTCTTCTCCGTTCGTTTTCAAGTTTCCTCTTCTTCTCCGATCTCCGTGGTCCCAAAGCTCGGATTCTCGCACCGAGGTAAGGGAAGCTAGTAATTTTCTTTCTTTTGTCGTTGTTTTTGGCTGTGGATGAGTTCTAGAAACTCATTAGATGCTTATGGATGGTTGATTCGTGGCTGTGTTGAATGAGAACCTGTTTTTGGGGGTTTCGGGGTTTTTGAGAAAATTTGGGGAAATCCGTGATTTGTTGTTGCATGTTGAAAAAGGTAGTATTTTTGGGTTCTTGGATGGAAATGTGATGCTTTGGACCGATTGCATGTGCCTGGGAAGTTGATTTTGCAGGTTTTTGGGTGAAATTTTCGAACTGGGGAGAGTTGCTGTTTGAATTCGCGCTGAGCGCAGTTCTTCGCGCTGAGCGCGACTTGAAATGGGGACTCACTGGGTGAATCGCGCTGAGCGCGGGGAGAACCGCGCTGGGCGCAATAGACCTCTGTAGGTCTCTGGTTGAGACGCGCTGAGCGCGAACTTGAACGCGCTGAGCGCGCATTTGAAGTTCCGAAATTGACTTCATAGTCTTCATGAAAGTTGTAGCCTTGGATGTTAGCTTTCCAATGGCGCTGGAATCACCCAAAAAGGAGTTTTAGAACTCCAGTTATGGCTGTTTTAGTGAAGAGAGGTCAAGCTGCCAGCATTACGTATAGCTGTTGCGGTTTTTAGAATTTTTAACAAGGTAGATGAAAGAATTAGGACTTGGTGTCTTCATGAGAGTTGTAGGAAATTTGATTATCTTTCATATGAGATAAGGATGAGTATGGTAGGAGTAGTATAACTCATGATGTGTTATTTTCTGTGAAGGTTGCCATTTTCCATTTAGTGATTTGGTTAAGTTTAAAGTTGTTTTAGGTGCTTAGGTTGATTGGTGTTGTTTGGGTGGGTAATTTGACAAGATAGATGAGTTGTAAATAAGAGGATTGGGTCGGAGAATGTGTTGAACATGTCGTACGTTGTGAAATTGTTGATCATGCTATTTTATGTTGTTGATGATGAAATGCCACGCTGTAATGTATATATATGTATATGCTGATATTGATGCGTTGCGCTGAGCGCGGCCCTTGTCGCGCTGGGCGTGAGACTCCTTGAGAGTCTCTGTCCTGTGGGCGCTGGACGCAATTTGAATTGCGCTGGACGCGAGACCAAGGGGAGGTCTCTGCCTTCCCCGCGCTGGGCGCGGGTATGGGCACGCCGGGCGCTCGAGACTCCTGGGAGTCTCTGCCTGGCATGCGCTGGGTGCGTGTGAGCCTTGGGCTCTCTGGTTGAGTCCCGCCAGGCGCAGGCATACCTGCGCTGGGCGCGCTAGCCCCTGGTGCTCTCTGGTTGTACCGCGCTGGGCGCGACCATGAGTGCGCCGGGCGCGGAGATGGGAAATTTATATATGTTGGTTAATGTTATTTTATGCTTAGTTGAGTTGTAGACGAATATAATGTGATGACTAATGGATGATGTTGGTTGATTGATGTTGAGTTGTACAGTTGAGTTGTGTTGAAAGTTGATGTTGAGTTGTCCAGTTGTGTTGTGTTGCAAGTTGATATGTTGAGTTGCAAAAGTTGTGTTGTGTTGAATGCTGATATGAATTGTTGTAGGCCATAATGGCTGAGTTGTTGTAGGCCGAAAGGCTGAGTTGTTGTAGGCCATAATGGCTGAGTTGTTGTAGGCCAAAAGGCTGAGTTGTTGTAGGCCATAATGGCTGAGTTGTTGTAGGCCATAATGGCTGAGTTGTTGTAGGCCATAATGGCTGAGTTGTTGTAGGCCATAATGGCTGAGTTGTTGTAGGCCATAATGGCTGAGTTGTTGTAGGCCATAATGGCTGAGTTGTTGTAGGCCATAATGGCTGAGTTGTTGTAGGCCATAATGGCTGAGTTGTTGTAGGCCATAATGGCTGAGTTGTTGTAGGCCATAATGGTTGAGTTGTTGTAGGCCATAATGACTGAGTTGTTGTAGGCCATAATGGCTGAGTTGCTGTAGGAGATCTCCGAGTTGATATGCGTGACGACGCATTGTGTGCTGATTGCTGATTATGCTGTAAGATTGATGAGGTGTATGCTGAAGATGTGTGCTGTTATGGCTAAATAATGTGGTACTTTAAATGAATTTTGTTAAGTTGATTGATGTGTTGAAGTGTTGTGTTGTGCTGTGCTGGGCTGTGCTGAGTTGGGGGATATTCTAACCGCTAAGGCAGTGCTGATATTGCCGCATTGCGGTACTGATATTGTTGAGTGGTATAAGCTGTATAAGTATGTTGATAATTGTATCTGTTGTTTATTTATGTTGATATATATATATATATATATTTGTATGTTGAAATTTTAATTACACTAGCTTACCCTTTTGTTGTCTCCATGATATTGGACTGCGATGATCATACTATGTATGGGAGCAGAGCAGGGATAGGTGGGCGTCTAAGGATGAGTCTTCGGCGGACCAGTAGAGCTGATCGTTTTTGTGACTATTTTGTTATGTAGCTACTTGGGATAGTAGCATTGATTGGACTTTGTGTTGTACACTCTAACTCTAGTCGGATAGAGACTTTGTATATATTTATATTCTAGATCCTATACTTATATACTTGTCCTTTCTGTCTGGCGTTTCCGGTGTACAGTGGTGTGTGTGTAGTGACCAGCCGGGTCGTTACATAATTAATATCGATTTTAATGAAATATAATAACTTAATCATTGTAGTTTTAAATTAATTTTAAGTGATTAAATATTTTAAAATTAGTTGCTTTTAATCTTCATGATTAATTATAGTCATAATGGTTAGTATCTCCTTCTATAAATATTGATAATGAGTAGGAGTCAAAGGCATAAAGCATCACTCTCCTATCTTTTTCTCAATGTTCTCTCCATTTCTGGATTAAGAACTTGTTATTTTTGTATCCATATTCTAGTACTACGAATATCCTGTTGTATTTTGGGGGACTTGTGTGAGAGTTTGCAGATAAGTCAATTAGGTCCGTTAGATAATGCATTGCATGCTTCAAGAATTCAAATCAAATCGTACTCTCAACATACATGGATAAAACCTGTGATCTTCAATTGTTGTAAGAAAGTTGGATGATGGAATTGAAAAAGCACACACGCTTCATGAGTTTTATCATCAAAAATAGGAAAACACTTGCAGAACTTTTATGGGAAAATAAGAGAATACTAGACAAAACATTTAATGTTATTTTTTTACCTTCTTATATATCTTCACTACAATTCAAGTGTGTTCCTTTCAACAAGTGTGTTCCTACCAAGGCCATGGCTAAGCTTGGTACTATAGTAGTGACAAAAATTGTTTCATGGAGTGTGGGATTATTTCTCAAAATCTGCTACTACCATGTTTATTTGAAATTTTCTCATGGGTGAAAATTGTTGACCACATATGTGTAAGGTCACAAAGAAATATTGTAGATTTGCTTACAAAAAAAGCTATGTGACAACACATACTTAAGTCCTCTAGGAGGATAAGAGTAAAGTTCATCAACTAATCACAACAATGGATATCCAACTCTATGTGAATCGTAATCCAAGGAATGGAGTTCAATAGGTAACAATGAATTTTTTGATTGGTTAAAATACACCAAAAACTTATTTATTATGTGAGATGTTCCAATTCTTATTCCTATGGCAAGGTGTATTTTTAAACTACGACAATTACAAGGTTGAGGCATATAATTTTTTTTTTCTATTTAGTAAAAACAAATTAAAATACCTCTTCATGATTTTGATGATAGGAATTGTGGAGGTAAGGATCACAAGTCTCCCTTTGAAAGATTTTGTAATGTAGTAATTTGTTTCAGAAGGCCCAAAAGCCCAATATGGGTGATTTAGTAGCCCAGAATGGGCCGTTCCCAATTTGGAACGGGCCATTCTAAACTACTAAATTGACCTGTAAATTGTAGTTGAGAACGAGCCATTCTGGATGGAGTACGGACCGTTCTGGATGGAGTACGGGCCGTTCTGGATGAGTCCCAGAACGGGTCGTTCTGATTTCAAAACAGGTCGTTTTGCATGTGATTTTTGCACATGATGAAGGGATGCAGAACGGACCGTTCCGAATTTGGAATAGGTCGTTCTGGCCACTCCGGAACTTCTATAAATAGAGATTGTGTGGTTGAGGAGAAAGTGAAGTTTTTACAGAGAAGTTTTAAAGAGAAGGACTATGGGTCTGTGAGCTCTTTTCTCTCCCAAATTTTTTTGTATAACTCATTTTCTCCTCTAGATCACTAATGCCTTCTATCTTTTCTTGAAATTCAGATTAAGAAGCTTGCTTTGGGAGGATTCAAGTTCCGGGTTGAGCTTCGGAAGGAAATTCTACTTCTTCTCAGTTATTAGCTATTTTGAGCCAATCTTCAGGTGAGAGAAGCTAGAGTGTTTTTTTGTTTAGGTTGCATGTGAGTTTAGAAACTCAATTGATGCATGAATGTTGAGAATCCATAGATGGATTGAAGAAAATCTCATTTTTGGGGTTTTGAGAAAAAGGAGGATTTTGATGATTTTGATGCATAGGTTGGACGCATGTGAGATTTAAGTTTATTTTGAGTTGTATGGTGCCTATGCATTGTGTTTTTGTGTTTGCATATGGTTGGATTTGTTAGTTGTATGAGAGTTTTGAACTCTCTGACTGGGATTAGGCTAGGCACAGGTTGAGCGCGCCAGACGTGGAAGAGCTTAGGGCTCTCGGGTTGGATTTTGGGCCAGGCGTGATTTGGTTGCATCAGGCGTGGAGAATCTTAGGAGTCTCTGTCTCAAGGACACCGAGCATGAGTTGAACGCGCCGGGTGTTGATGAGTTTTAGGACTCTCATGTTGGGATTAGGCTGGGCGAGCTCAGGTTGCGCTAGGCGTGAACATGTTTATGAATGAAATGATGCTAATGCATGTTAAGTTGAAGTTTTGGATCATGTATGTATGATATATGATGTATGGTGAGGTGTGATTCATATGTATGCATAGTGATGATATATATGAATGTTTAAATATGATATGACATGAGTATATGTTCATATGTGTATGATTATTGATCATAATGGTGGGTAGACCATGTATGATGTATGATGCATTATTGCATGTGATGTCTTATGACATGTGTATGATTATTGATCATAATGGTGGGTAGACCATGTATGATGTATGATGCATTATTGCATGTGATGTCTTATGACATGTGTATGATTGTTGATCATAATGGTGGGTAGACCATGTATGATGTATGATGCATTATTGCATGTGATGTCTTATGACATGTGTATGATTATTGATCATGATGGTGGGCAGACCATTATGATGTATGATGCATGATTGCATGTGATGCCTATGGCATGAGTCTAGCCTAGGACTTGAGGAGAGGAAAAATATTTTCGAACTGGAAGAGCTCACATAGAGTCTCTTGAGAGTGGTGCTTGGATAGGCCACTGATATATGAGAGTGGTGCTCAGGTAGGCCACTGGATTTGGGAGTGGTGCTCAGGTAGGCCACTGGGTTGGGTGAGTCTCCTCTAAGTCCTTAGCTAGTGTTGGAGCGGGGTATGAGGTCGAGGGTTATTCCCTTAACCAAGTACTCGGGAAGGTGCGTGGATCCTTGCGGATAGTCGGTGGGCGAACTCCACAATTGACTTGGTTATGCATGTCAAGGTCGTGGTAAGCCCGTACCCAACTGTGCTATACCTGACGGTGGATCTGGACTTCCAATTGTGTAAGTGACATCATCCGAGTAAACCCGAGTGAGGATTATATCCTGTTTAGCTGTGACCGAGCGGGCGCATTGGGTGTGAAAACAGTTGGGGTGGTTTCGGTAGGATGGGATGTCACTTATACAACTTTATTGTTAGGGAGATCTTCTAGGTGTATGTGTGACGACACATTAGATGATTGATATGCATTGATATTTGTCATGAGTTGCATGTATTTCATGATTGTTATGATGATGAAGTGTATGGTGTTTGACTTCATGTTTGATGAGTGGATGATTGATTGAGATGGAAGGTTCCTTTGGGACTTGATTGGGATGCATGTGTAGTATAGATTTTATTTTGTACTTGTATGATTGATTTTTGAACTCTAGCTTACCCTTTTTTTCCATGTGGTGGGACTGCAATGATCATACTTGGTATGGGAGCAGATCAGGGATAGCTTGGAGTACAAGTGACAGCTGCGAGACGAGGAGTTTGAGCCTCGTGTTAGAGTTACCATTTTGAGTAACGGTTTTGTTTGTGCTTGACCAGCACTAGGGAATTTTTTTGGGATGACTGTACATATATGGTGTTTTATTTTGTATACAGAAACTTAGTTATTTTGATCCTTATATCTATGCCTGTGTGTATGTATTATCCAGTTTAATATTTTCTTAAGTTAATTAGTTGTAGTGAGATTTCACTAAGTGTAGAGACCATGGTGGGTCGTTACAGATTTACCTAATGAATGTGCTGGTGGGGTCACCATTGCGAGATGTGGCAAATCTTTAAGTGACACTCACAAAATAAAATATTAATTCTACATCATTTATTAGAACTCAAAATGAACACTTATATTATTTGTATTATGATTCAAAGCCCAATTAAAAGAAGATATGACTCAAGACAATAATATCTTCATATTTTTATCAAGTAGAAGCTTATATACATTAGGTATAAGACTTAAAATTCATAAGGTTCTTGTCTCGAAAAAATAATATGTCATGCTCCACTAAAATTATTTTTTAAGGTTTTCATATATTTTAATAATTTATTTAAATTTTAAATTAGTAGAAGATTGTTGAAAAATTATTTTAAAATATAAATTAAATGTATTTATTTAATTTATATTTAATTTTTAATTATTTTTATTAATATTTTTTTAAGGATTAAGTTCGTCATGGCTTATTAGTGTTTGACCATGTCTTTATAGTATTAAACGTTACTATCTGATTAGTTGTTACTCATTACACGTTCCTTTTTGGATGTTGATACATTTTTAATTTGGTGTTCAAGCCATAAGGGTATTATGGTAATCTATAAATATCTACTTTGGAGAAAAATATGTTAAATCAGATGAAGCGCATTCGCAATTCCCATCAAGGTTTTGAATATGACAAATATAATATATATTGTTATTACTAACATGTGCTTTAGTGTTTTAGTCAGATAACGAAAAGTTTAAACAGTTGAATATGTTCAAGCATAATCTGGCTAGACAAAATGTCAGATGATAGAAAGGCCAGCATCACGGCTAAGGTTGATTCAGGCTCAAATCAAATACAAAGTCTATCAATAGAAGCCTAAGGCATCAGACGCAAATTGGCCAAGGCATCAACATGAAGTGACCATCAGAAAGAACCAATATAAAAGACAAAGTTATCACTTCCACACTCAGACGAAAAGGGTCGTCAAGATCAGACGTAGTATCTTATAACTAGATGATGCCGAGAAAGCTGAAGCACGTCTGAAGTTTGCTAATCACATTGAAAGGAATTATACAAGAAACACAAGAGGACATCTTCGTGAATAAAAAATTAGGAAAGCATGCATTCACAAGTCAAGGCCGAGTGCGTCAGAGAAAAGACACCTACTTTTCAGAAAAAGACAACACCACAGCGGCTAAACTGATGAAAAAAGTACAAATATACCTAGATCATGATTAGAGTCAGATATCGAAGAAATCAAATACACAAAGAAGCTCCACAAATACAAGCAAGCATTTAATGCAAGATCAAATGCATTAAATGAGAAGATATGCATGAACATGAACGAAACGTCCATCTACTACGACACAAGCCTACCCTCTAACGAAAAAATTCAAATTAAAAGCAACGGGCAGATTTATCAAAAAGTGTACAAGTATCGAGGCCAAGAAGAAGAAGAAAAGGGAGAGCTGAGAAAAATGTGTAATACGAAAAAGAAAATCAAAATCATAAACTATCTTTTTCTTCTCAAAGAAATTTCCAATAGTTCATCCTCTCTACGAGAGCAACCAAACACTCAGACACCTATCTCAAAAAAACTAAGGTTACGCACCTTAATGAGTGTAGAAATTATCCAATTCTCTCTATGAGAGTAATACACACACTCAAAACCCACAATTGCTGTAAAGCCTGAAGAGGCTGGTAGAAAGAATACTTGTGAACCAGAAGACGTTGAGAATACTAGCGTTGGTGAGTGAAGCCGACGGGCCAGGAGTGGTTTAGAGTACTTGTAGAACCAGAAGTGGTTAAGAATACTAGCATCTAGTTGACGAGCTAGAAGTGGCTGAAAATACTTGTAATCCTTTGTGATTAGTGGAACCCTTCTGAGGAAGGAAACTGGACGTAGCTTAGATTGAGTGAACCAGTATAACTTTCTGAGCATTCTTTTTACTTTTCAGCATTACATACTTTGCACCTGATCTACTTTGTTTTTCAACAAAGCTTTGGACGAAAACTTATTTGACCTTGTTAAAACTATTTTACCATACAATAACGTTTTCTAGACTGAAAACCAGTTTATTTAACCTTCTACATTGAAAATTAGTTTCGTTAAAACAAAAATCACTAGACGAAAATTCTACTTAAATTTTCCAAAAGTACTCTTGTGAAATAACTCTAAAATTTTCCTTCAAATCCGAACACACACATTCAACCCCCCCTTCTATGTGTATTTCTGCTAACCTCAATTGGTATCAGAACTTGACCCCTTGGGTTGAGCATCTAACACTGCAAGGGAAACGATCATGGAAAATGAAGAACAAGCCGTAAACCTACCACCCCTCTTCAAAGGAGCAAAATATGACTACTGGAAGCAAAGAATGATTGCATTCTTTGATGCATGTCATATAGACATGTGGGACGTTGTTGAGCAAGGAAACTACATTCCCTTAGATTAAGCCAGCAACGAGAAACCCAGAGCACAATGGATTGAAGAGCAAAAGAAAAGATTCATGCTGAACTCCAAAGCACGCAATGCACTCATGTGTGCTCTATCTGAAGAGGAATACACTAAAGTTCACAGCTTCAGAAGTGCCAAACAAATGTGGGACACCCTAGCTCTAACCTATAAGGGGTTCCTAGAGGTAAAACGCAACAAGCTAAGCTTGTTGGCACGTAAGTATGAACTTTTTGAGATGGAAGAAAGTGAATCTATACAGACTATGTTTGGAAGATTTCAAACCATCGTAAATGAACTTTCTTTTCTAGGTAGAACTTATGATAATTTTGATCATATTGACAAATTACTTCGTAGTTTACCCAGAAAATGGAGACCACAAGTCACTGCTTTGAGAGCATCCAAAAATCTGGAAAAGCTCTCTCTGGAGGAACTCATTGGACTCCTTAAAGTTCATGAGCTGAAGTTACAACAAGATGATGCTAGGAGAAAATAGAAGTTTATTGCGTTAAATGTGAAAAAGACAAAATCAACACCATCCTCCTCAAAAGCGCTAAAGATTAATGATACGTTCGATGATAGTTGCAATGAGGGAACTTGTGACACAGACGATGAAATATCCTTCTTGTTAATGAAGATTCATTCAATAATGAAGAAAAAGGGAGGAATTCGATGGAGGAAATACAACAGACCTTCCTGAGAAAAGGCATAACCATTGTGCTATGAATGTAAGAAACCTGGACATTACAAAATAGAATGTCTGAAACTTGAAAAATAAAAGGAAAAAGAGAAGAAAAAGTTGATCCCCTTCAAAAAGAAGAAAGCCATGATGGCCACATGGGAGGATCTTGACACAACATCATTAAAGGAAGACGAAGAAGTAAACATATGTCTCATGGCAGACGCAGACTCATCATTAGAATCAGATAATAAAAAGGTAACTGAATCTGACCTAAAAATTCTTAAGCATGCATATAATCAACTTTTATCAGATTCAGCAAATATTTCTACAACATATAAGGAACAAAAGAAAAGAAATTTGGAATTACTTGAAGAAAATTGTCTACTGAAAAACGAAAATACAAAACTTCTTTCAACTTCAGAAGAAGTAATCAAATTAACCAAAGAAAACGATTTATTAAAGTCTGATTTGTCAAAATTCACACTAGGAACTAAAAATCTCGAGCACCTTCTAAAGCACTCTAGGAGTGGGAAAGATAGAACAAGATTAGGGTTTGTTGAATCTGAGTCCAAAATCAAGACAAAAACTTATGCATCTTCCTTGCATGGAAATAATGGACAAAAGTTTAAGATGGAAGATGCGAAATCAATGAAGACACCAATGTATCCTTCAATGACTCTTGGTCTAGACAAAGAATCACCAGATGTTGATAGCACAATGTACCGAGGAATGGTTGGTTCTCTCTTGTACCTAACAGCGTTGAGACCCGACATCATGTTCAGTGTTTGCGTTTGTGCTAGGTTCCATGTACGACCTAAGGAGGTACACTTGCAAGCAGTTAAAATAATTTTAAGATATCTTAAAGGAACACCTAACCTAGGCATCAACTTCTATATAAGCCAAAACTTTTCTCTTCTAGGATATTATGATGTAGATTATGCAAGAGACAATTGGGAGAGAAAGAGCACTAGCCGAGGATGCCATTTTCTTGGTCGCTGCTTAGTTTCATGGGCTAGCAAGAGGCAAAGCACGATTGCCCTATCCACTTGTGAAGCTGAGTATGTTGCCACAGGACAATGTCTCACGCAGCTACTATGGATCAAACATCAACTGGAAGACTACGACATTTAAGAAAGTAGTATCCATGTACTCTGCGATAACACTGCTACTATTAACATTTCAAAAAATCCTGTTTTGCATTCTAGGACTAAGCATATAGAGATTAAACATCATTTCATTAGAGATCATGTGCAAAAAGGAACATTTGAACTGATTTATGTTAAGACTGAAGAACAACTTGCTGATATCTTCACCAAACCCTTCAAGAAGATAGATATGTTTGGCTGAGAGATAGGCTAGGAATGGAATTGATAGATGATCACTAGAATGTCATACTCACCCTCTATTTCTTTTTGCTGATTACAAAGGGGGAGAGAAAGAATAAAAAAAATCTATCAAACTAAACCAATCACATAGTCAGGGGGAAACCAATCACGTAGTAAGGGGGAGAGCATTAAGTTAGGGGGAGGAATTTCAGGAAATGGAATAATTATAGTATCCCTTACATTACATGACATTATGCTCTGTATCTTATATAAACTTGATAGATTATATTTGTCATCATCAAAAAGGGAGAGATTGTTAAGTCAAATGAAGCGCATTCGCAATTCTCACCAAGGTTTTGAATATGACAAATATAATACATATTGTTATTACTAACATATGCATTAGTGTTTTAGTCGGATAACGAAAAGTTTAAACAGTTGAATATGTTCAAGCATAATCTGACTAGACAAAATGTCAGACGATAGAAAGGTCAGCATCAAGGCTAAGGTTGATTCAAGCTCAAATCAAATACAAAGTCTATCAACAGAAGCCTGAGGCATCAGATGAAAATTGGCCAAGGCATCAACATGAAGTGACCATTAGAAAGAACCAATATAAAAGACGAAGTTATCACTTCCACACTCAAACGAAAAGGGTCATCAAGATCAGACGTAGTATCTTGTAACTAGACGATGTCGAGAAAGCTGAAGCACGTTTGAAGTTCGCTAATCACATTGAAAGGAATTATACAAGAAACACAAAAGGACATCATCATGAATAAAAAATTGGGCAAGCATGCATTCACAAGTCAAAGCCAAGTGCATCAAAGAACGAATACCTACTTTTTAGAAAAAGACAGCACCGCAATGGCTAAACTGATGAGAAAAGTACAAATATACCTAGATCATGATCGGAGTCAGATATCGAAGAAATTAACTACACAGAGAAGCTCCACAAATACAAGCAAGCATTTAATGCAAGATCAAATGCATTAAATGAGAAGATTTGAATGAACATGAACAAAGCGTCCATCTACTACGACACAAGCCTACGCTCTAACAGAAAAATTCAAATTAAAAGCAACGGGCAGATTTATCAAAAAGTGTATAAGTATCGAGGCCAAGAAGAAGAAGAAAAGGGGGAGCTAAGAAAAACATGCAATACGAAAAAGAAAATCAAGAGCATAAACTATCTTTTTCTTTTCAAAGAAATTCTTGTATATCTGTGTAAAAACTAAGATAGCTTATCTTAGTGAGTGTTGCCAATAGTTCATCCTCTCTATGAGAGTAACCAAACACCCAGACAACTATCTCAAAAAACATAAGGTCACGCACCTTAGTGAGTGTAGAAATTATCCAATCCTCTTTGTGAGAGTAATACACACACTCAAAACCCACAACTATTATAAAGCCTGAAGAGGCTGGTAGAAAGAAGACTTGTGAACCAGAAGTGGTTGAGAATACTAGCGTTAGTGAGTGAAGCCGACGGGCCAGGAGTAGTCGAGAGTACTTGTAGAACCAGAAGTGGTTAAGAATATTAACGTCTAGTTGACGAGCCAGAAGTGGCTGAGAATACTTACAATCCTTTGTGATTAGTGGAACCCTTCTGCGGAAGGAAACTGGACGTAGCTCAGATTGAGTGAACAAGTATAACTGTCTATGTATTCCTTTTACTTTTCAGCATTACGTACTTTGCACTTGATCTACTTCATTTTTCAACAAAGCTTTGGACAAAAACTTATTTGACCTTGTTAAAACTATTTTACCAGACGATAACGTTTTCTGGACTAAAAACTAGTTTCTTTAACCTTCTACGTTGAAAATTAGTTTTGTTAAAACAAAAATCACTAGACAAAGATTCTACTTAAATTTTCCAAAAGTACTCTTGTGAAATAACTCTAAAATTTTCCTTCGAATCTGAACACACATATTCAACCCCCCCTTCTGGGTGATTTCCGCTAACCTCAAAATATACCATACTGTGAAATATTATCTCTCCCAAGGAAATTATTTAAGTTATTAATAGTATATTTTGGAGCGATGTTTTTGGTTTGGAAATCCTTCACTACACACAATTAATTTAACATATTGTCATATCTCGAGAGAGAAACGCTTTACAAATTAATATACTAGAGCAATAGGGTGTTTTCTCTGTATAGATAGCACCTAGCGTGCTTCAACCCAAGTTTCTCTAAACTCTTATTCTTATTTTATTTCAATCTTTGTTATTTTAATTTATCTTTTGTTGATGTTGACATTGATAAATAATACATTATGTTTTATCTTATTTCCATTATCTAACAAATATTAGCTTTAGTTAGGAGATAAAGTTTTTGACAAACCTTGGAGATCGGTATAGCCAAGCTCACTCATGAATGAGTGAGCAGGATAAAAATAACCATCTTGATGCAGTTACCGAACATGATCATGGCCAAAATAGCTCACATCCACCAATCTTTGTGATGCATGGCCAAAATAGCTCGATCTTTATGGTAGGTGCAAATGAATTGCTCCTATATCTTGTTAACTACTTTTATCTATTAAAATTATAATCAAAACTATAAAGATAATCTTTTCACATTATATAAAGGGTACATGCATAGTTTTTGTTAAGAAGTTTATAATTTCTAAATAACTAAATGGGCTACATATTAAAATTATTGTATTTATATTAGCTATTTACATTTGGATGAGCTCAATGCAAGTGATCTATTTTAGTGAGACCATTAGACTAACATTAAAAAAACAATATGGACTTAATGAATAATGTGTTGAAATTGGATAAGCCCATTAAGGGATATTAAAAATCCTAATGGGTTAAAATAGTAGGCATGGTTATGATCCAAAATATAGAAAATCAGATAGCCTCTCATAGCCTCTCACTCTCTCCATCTAATGAGAAACATCAAGTCTCATCTACGGAATTACAATGATTTGGTTAAGGAAAGGCATGTAGTAACCCAAAAAATTTTGATCTTACAACCAATGGTTTAGACTTCCAATTGAAAATCTCATCAATTAAGGAATGTTCAGAAACCAGACTAAATCCTTAATTAATGGTTTTGAAAAATGGTTCATAGGAGTTGCCATCAATGTTTTACTCAAAACATTGGAAAAAGAAAAGGTTTTTGAAAATCCAATAAAGGCCTTGATAACAAAAATTGGGTTCGGGGATCGGTTACATATAGGGAAGGTTTTAAACACCCTACAACGCCCTAAATCGGTATCTTATGATGAAGTTAATGTAATAAGAATTAATAATTTAAATATTAGATCCCCTTTTATTAATGGTTATTTTCATACTTGAAATTTAAATTACACAGTTTATCCTAAGATGTCTACATGATTATTTTTATTTAGAATAATATTTATAAAGTAAAAGAAGTAAGGGAGGGAGAAGAATATTGACTGAAATACCTCTTAGTCGAGCTTTATTGAATCTTCAAATATGGATATCTTTAGGCACTTTTTGGCTACCTTACACACTACAATGTGCCTTGCCACTCTCAAGAAATACAAAAAGGGGAAGGGAAAGATAATTTCAAGCTATCTAAGACTTCCTAGGTAAATTTTCCGGTCCCAGGAGCAGTGCTCGAGTCTAGTATTTATAGACGTCAAAATTGACCAGAACGACTTGTTCTGGTTTCGAAACGGTCCGTTCTAGATCAGTTTGTTAAGAGTAAAATTTGAATCCGGAGCAGTTCATTTCGGTGTCAGAACGGCCCGTTTCGGATTTGAACTTAACTCATAACAACCTATCTTGGAACGACCCGTTCTGGGATGGGAACGACCCATTCCCAACTAGGATTTATGAGCCTTTTTAGTAGTTTGGAACGACCTGTTCTAAATTAGAAACGGCCCATTCTGGGCTACTGAATCACCCTTATTGGGCTTTGGGCCTTCTGATGTCATATCGTGTCGTTTCTAGGCTTTCTAGAGCTCTTTTCTTCATAATAAAAGTCCATTTCTTTGTTTGCAGGTCCGGACAAAATTAAGTGTCTACAAGGTATTATACCAATAGATGGAACAATTGTTTGTGATTTCGTTGTGACTCTTGATCAACTATTGTAAACCATGTATTTCTTAAAACTTTATAACCTTGATAATATAATATAATATGATTTAGTGGTTATTTGATATTTTATTGAAGTTTGTTTAAAATTCCAACAAGTGGTGTCAGAATCACCATTATTGTTAAACTATTAGGTTTATATATTGTTTGATTCACATGATGTCTGGATTAGTTTGATTATCTTCACAATTTGGCGCCCTAATTTTAATTTTTAGATATTACTTCACTGGTAAAGAAACTGATGTGTATAAAAAAAAATAGTAATTCTTTATAGTACTAGGATTCCTATTTGTGTTCTATATCATGTTTTCATACATTTGTTTTTTCTTTGAATTTTTTGCCAAAATAAAGTCAATGTTTATCATTATATGTTAAGCTTGTTTTGTTTGCAAAATTTGTAATGCAATTTGGATTGATATATAAAGAATAAAGTTTGGACAAGTTGGAAATAAACATGATTAAGATCACAGTGTATGTATTTTTAAGTCACTCATCCATATTTAATCTATTTAATTGAGTATATATAATTGCGGTAGTCATTGTGGTTTAATCATGTCGAATTATGGTAAAAGTTGTAGTGGTTCCCTATTACTATATGAGATGGACCAAATTGTTTAAATGAGAGTCTAAAGGTATATAACGTATAGTTGCACACTTATTATTTTTGTGATATAAATGTCTAGGATTAATATGAAATTCAAGTGAGAGATTGTTATGAAATTTATAATTCCTAA